AAAAGGTTCACACTGGCCGTATTGCTGCTCAGAGTAATGACATTTGCCTGAGTCATTTTAGAAACATTTTAAAAAGTAGGCAAAGCCAAAACCTCTTTGGACAGATACAGTATTTTACCAAGCGACCTCTATTTATTGAAAAGCACTTTCAATAGTGGTGGAAGTGAAGGAAAGAAAGCAAAAAATCAGTGAATAAAAAATTAACAAAAATATGTAACAGAAAAGATTAAAAAATTAGTGTTAAGTTATTTTTAAGTTATTGTTACATTACGTTATGTAAGTTAAGTTTTAGTATCATTTCCCTTCTCCCTCTCTTCCGCCAGCAGTTTACACCTCCACCGTCGTCTATCCTCAAAGGTAAAGTGAAAATAAAACTACATTTATTTTATTGATTATTATTCTATTATGGTTAATTATACATTTACAACTACAAAACGCATTTTTCAGTGTTTTCCTTACTATAGTTATTTTTTTAATGTACAACTTAGCTTTAATTTGAGTGTGTTTTTCGTGTTGGAACGACTTATTTGGTTTTATATGTAATCATATGGGAAAAAATGATTCAGCTTACGACATTTTCATGATACGATCTCAATTTCGGAACGGATTAATTTCGTATCCTGAGGTACCACTGTAGTATAAAATCTGAATATAAACATTCATTAATCCAATTCTTGATTGAGGTCAATTTTCCATATTTTATCGGGCTTTAATATAGCTACTATTTAATAATTAAATGTTAAGTAATTTTGCCTAGAGTAGGTGTTAGGTGCCATTTCTTGATAAATTTAGTAATTATAAATAAATTAATATTTAATTTTTATTTTAATAATTAAATTTATCAAGAAATATAACATAGCCACAAACCTCAATCAGTCCAACAGTACAAAATCCAAACACTTCGAATGTTTTTGGTCTACCTTAAAGACCTTCTTCAGGAACATCAAAATTCTAAAATGTAATGCTTGACAAAGCATGGAATGTGCACTTTAGAAATTGATTACATTGAATTTGGAATTTAAAACTGATTATGTTTTCAGAAGTAGAAGCAATTATTGGATCCTTGTTGCTTTACAGAGAAGCATCTCAACAGGCTTTACAACACACAAGAAATGGCTTTTCTTCTTTGTACTTGATACAATTGCCCCTTGGTCCAGTTCTGGGACCGAGGAGTTAATGCTGTTATCAAGAGTTACTACCTAACACTTGCCTCTAGTCAAAATTACTTAACATTTAATTATTAAATAGTAGCCATATCATAGCTCAATATAATCTGGCATATCATTTGGTCTTATATAAAATCTGATATACAGTAATTATTATTTTCTATTATTCAGATAACAAATTTGCAAAACAAAATTGATGATCTATTAATGGAGAAACATCACGAAAATAAACAGGAAGGACAGCAATTACATATTTTACAGAAAGAAAATGTTCAATTACAATCAAAAATAAAAGGACTTTCAACAGAACTGGAAGAGTTACAAAAAGTAAAAGAAAAAGTGGGGTTACGTACCGATAACGTCGTACGATTACAAACAAAACAACTGACGGAACACGAAATTAACATTCGAACTCTCGAGGTAATACAGAATATAATTTACATTGTTGTGATTTGTATTGATTTAAAATTAAATTTTATATACTTCTCAGTCAGAAATAAAATCATGTGAGTTGCAGAAAGAAGCAACCGAAAAAGAGTTGTCCCTGTGTTACGAAAATAATAAAATTTTAACATCAGAATTACAGTCTACAAAGAAAGAATTAATTTTAATTAAAAATCAATTGGAAGAAGTTAAACAAAAGTGTCAGATTGAATTAGCGAATATTAAAGTCGAAAATTTGAGGAATAAGGGAAAATTAGAAAGGGACAAAAGCCAACTTAATATAGAACTTTCTAGTAAGTTTTTTCTTTTAATTTTCTTAATAATTATATATTAAATTTATTGATATTCATTTTATGTAATTCAATATATACATATATAAACATCTTAAAGACTGATGATTGTATCAAAGTTAAACAATTATCAGACTAAATCGGCCTAAGAGATGGTGCCTAATACTTACCTCTAGTGCCAAATTACTAATATTTAATAATTATTAGTAGTGGAAACATAGCTTGATATAATCCGGTTATCATTTGGCTTTCATACACTGCTAAACTATTTAATCACAAGTAATTATTGTCATGTGGATGGATATGATCATTACAGTTGTGGATGTGGAAAAGTTAAAAGTTTGTATTTTAACTAAAAGTTAAGGAATGCAAAAAAAATAATGGTTGATGCATTTTTTTTATTTAATAGTTTTTGCAGGTTAGTCAAAAATATGAAACCTTTATGTTCATAACAGAGACTTGTGGAGTCAGCATGCATATTCAATTCCATTTCTTTCAAATTTTAAATGCCAGAGTCCAATTTCTTTAATTATGGGGAAACCCTGGTTATTGTGATTAATGTTGCCACTACAATAGTTGAGAAGAATAACATATGAGAAACAGGAGATTGTTGCCAAGAATTTTCAAAAATTATGCTTAAAATTTTAAATACTAAATATTATGCTAGATATTTTTTTATGAAAGTACTTGAAAGGAATGAGATAATACATTAAATCAATTTTTAATTTTGAAACTATTTTTCTGAAAAATAACTTAAATTTTTTTTTTTTTGTTTTTGTTAATAGTAATGTAGGAGAGACATCTTGATTCAAAAATTTTTTTTTTTCTTGTTATGTGACTCACTAAAGTGAATGGTGATTTCTATTTCTCAATATACTTTCATTACATGTTCAATTACATTATGATTGCCATTCATTATTTTTTGCTTGAGATTCACAGACATGAAACAAGTTCTTTTAATGTGAATTCCTTCGTTGTTATCTTAATTTTGTCATCTCCAATGCTATTATCCAGAGCTTTGTACACTCATTCTACATCCAGATTAATAAGTTCTTCATCTGTAAGGTCACTAGTATGGAACTGGTGCAATTCTTGAACATTATCTTTATCTATTTTAGTTAAATTCTGATAGAATGGTTTGTACTTCATCAACAGGCTGTACATGTGGAATTTCTGTGATGCTTTTACATGTAACATCTAAATAAGGCCTGTCTGCCATAGAAAGTCCTGTTGGGAGATACCGCCCTTCATATCATCCAAGTATTGCATTATCTTCTTCCATCAATCTAACCCAGTCTGTGGACACTGAAACTGCCATTTTTTCATATTCATCATGAGTTTTCCAGGCTCACAATGGGGCAGCTAGATGGTGAGGGAAAAGGTCCGATACATTCGAGATAGACCACCCGTGATAAACTGCTGGAGAGGAGTGTCCCCTGATTTGATCCCAGGTCCCCAGATCTAAGTTGATGCTTTAACTGTCTTGACCATTACACTTCCAACACTCAATTCAAGTAGTCTATATACAGCAAGGCATATGCTGTCTACATTAGAAAATAAAACTGCAATGTTGCCAACATTTCTTTTTGTTTGCTTGCTTGAGGATTTATTTTATGTTTGCAGCTAAAATTATNTTTACATATTTGTGCAGAGCTGTAGCCTACAAAGAAAGGTCATCTCTGCAGTGAAGAATGGTTGTTCCAGGTGATTGGACATGGCAAGCAAGATACAACTAGTATTTGTATTGAAATTTTGTTTTATTAAATTGTAATTTCTGCCAGCCCTTTTTTACAACAAAATAATAAACTAACTACTACTTTGGCACAGTTTGCAATGGAGCTCAGGTGTATGCAATACTAAACGAAGCTAAGATTGTTAAACCAGTCTTGGATGAACAACATTTAAGAACACTTGAAACACTGGAGATCTACAAAGCAACATTATAACTAATGCATTAATTTTTTAAAGCAATTTCTTTTCCAGTGCCTGGAAGTTTTTCTTTGACAACGCTCTATAAACTTTATACAGAGAGAGAAAATGAAAATTATTAGGGACTGTTACTTGCTTAATTATATTCAATAATACATTTTGCAATATATTTAAGTTACACTTTGTATTTTAAAGTATACAGACTTGCAATGAGATTATGTTCCAAAAACACACCATAAGTAGAAAATATTAATAAATAAATAAAAATAGGCTATATGCAAGATACAGTGGAACCCCGGTTAACGAACGTCCTGGTTAACGACCAAATCGGTTAATGAACTTTTATTTTGCAAAAATTTTGTCTCGGATAACGAACGTAACAGTATTTTGTGTCAAATTTTAGTTGGTGTTAGGCATGCGCGAGTTAAGCATTGCTTTTCGGAGTGCTATACTTCTTTTTTTCAGTTTTGTGATTTATATATTTAATCAATATGGCATCCAAGAAAGAAAAAAGTCATAGTGGCAATAGAAAACGACAACGCGCTATCGCATTTGAGAACGATTTTGCTTAAAAGAGTAAGACAATCAACTTTAGATCAATNAAAAAAAAAAAAAAAAAAAAAAAAAAAAAAAAAAAAAAAAAAAAAAAAAAAAAAAAAAAAAAAAAAAAAAAAAAAAAAAAAAAAAAAAAAAAAAAAAAAAAAAAAAAAAAAAAAAAAAAAAAAAAAAAAAAAAAAAAAAAAAAAAAAAAAAAAAAAAAAAAAAAAAAAAAAAAAAAAAAAAAAAAAAAAAAAAAAAAAAAAAAAAAAAAAAAAAAAAAAAAAAAAAAAAAAAAAAAAAAAAAAAAAAAAAAAAAAAAAAAAAAAAAAAAAAAAAAAAAAAAAAAAAAAAAAAAAAAAAAAAAAAAAAAAAAAAAAAAAAAAAAAAAAAAAAAAAAAAAAAAAAAAAAAAAAAAAAAAAAAAAAAAAAAAAAAAAAAAAAAAAAAAAAAAAAAAAAAAAAAAAAAAAAAAAAAAAAAAAAAAAAAAAAAAAAAAAAAAAAAAAAAAAAAAAAAAAAAAAAAAAAAAAAAAAAAAAAAAAAAAAAAAAAAAAAAAAAAAAAAAAAAAAAAAAAAAAAAAAAAAAAAAAAAAAAAAAAAAAAAAAAAAAAAAAAAAAAAAAAAAAAAAAAAAAAAAAAAAAAAAAAAAAAAAAAAAAAAAAAAAAAAAAAAAAAAAAAAAAAAAAAAAAAAAAAAAAAAAAAAAAAAAAAAAAAAAAAAAAAAAAAAAAAAAAAAAAAAAAAAAAAAAAAAAAAAAAAAAAAAAAAAAAAAAAAAAAAAAAAAAAAAAAAAAAAAAAAAAAAAAAAAAAAAAAAAAAAAAAAAAAAAAAAAAAAAAAAAAAAAAAAAAAAAAAAAAAAAAAAAAAAAAAAAAAAAAAAAAAAAAAAAAAAAAAAAAAAAAAAAAAAAAAAAAAAAAAAAAAAAAAAAAAAAAAAAAAAAAAAAAAAAAAAAAAAAAAAAAAAAAAAAAAAAAAAAAAAAAAAAAAAAAAAAAAAAAAAAAAAAAAAAAAAAAAAAAAAAAAAAAAAAAAAAAAAAAAAAAAAAAAAAAAAAAAAAAAAAAAAAAAAAAAAAAAAAAAAAAAAAAAAAAAAAAAAAAAAAAAAAAAAAAAAAAAAAAAAAAAAAAAAAAAAAAAAAAAAAAAAAAAAAAAAAAAAAAAAAAAAAAAAAAAAAAAAAAAAAAAAAAAAAAAAAAAAAAAAAAAAAAAAAAAAAAAAAAAAAAAAAAAAAAAAAAAAAAAAAAAAAAAAAAAAAAAAAAAAAAAAAAAAAAAAAAAAAAAAAAAAAAAAAAAAAAAAAAAAAAAAAAAAAAAAAAAAAAAAAAAAAAAAAAAAAAAAAAAAAAAAAAAAAAAAAAAAAAAAAAAAAAAAAAAAAAAAAAAAAAAAAAAAAAAAAAAAAAAAAAAAAAAAAAAAAAAAAAAAAAAAAAAAAAAAAAAAAAAAAAAAAAAAAAAAAAAAAAAAAAAAAAAAAAAAAAAAAAAAAAAAAAAAAAAAAAAAAAAAAAAAAAAAAAAAAAAAAAAAAAAAAAAAAAAAAAAAAAAAAAAAAAAAAAAAAAAAAAAAAAAAAAAAAAAAAAAAAAAAAAAAAAAAAAAAAAAAAAAAAAAAAAAAAAAAAAAAAAAAAAAAAAAAAAAAAAAAAAAAAAAAAAAAAAAAAAAAAAAAAAAAAAAAAAAAAAAAAAAAAAAAAAAAAAAAAAAAAAAAAAAAAAAAAAAAAAAAAAAAAAAAAAAAAAAAAAAAAAAAAAAAAAAAAAAAAAAAAAAAAAAAAAAAAAAAAAAAAAAAAAAAAAAAAAAAAAAAAAAAAAAAAAAAAAAAAAAAAAAAAAAAAAAAAAAAAAAAAAAAAAAAAAAAAAAAAAAAAAAAAAAAAAAAAAAAAAAAAAAAAAAAAAAAAAAAAAAAAAAAAAAAAAAAAAAAAAAAAAAAAAAAAAAAAAAAAAAAAAAAAAAAAAAAAAAAAAAAAAAAAAAAAAAAAAAAAAAAAAAAAAAAAAAAAAAAAAAAAAAAAAAAAAAAAAAAAAAAAAAAAAAAAAAAAAAAAAAAAAAAAAAAAAAAAAAAAAAAAAAAAAAAAAAAAAAAAAAAAAAAAAAAAAAAAAAAAAAAAAAAAAAAAAAAAAAAAAAAAAAAAAAAAAAAAAAAAAAAAAAAAAAAAAAAAAAAAAAAAAAAAAAAAAAAAAAAAAAAAAAAAAAAAAAAAAAAAAAAAAAAAAAAAAAAAAAAAAAAAAAAAAAAAAAAAAAAAAAAAAAAAAAAAAAAAAAAAAAAAAAAAAAAAAAAAAAAAAAAAAAAAAAAAAAAAAAAAAAAAAAAAAAAAAAAAAAAAAAAAAAAAAAAAAAAAAAAAAAAAAAAAAAAAAAAAAAAAAAAAAAAAAAAAAAAAAAAAAAAAAAAAAAAAAAAAAAAAAAAAAAAAAAAAAAAAAAAAAAAAAAAAAAAAAAAAAAAAAAAAAAAAAAAAAAAAAAAAAAAAAAAAAAAAAAAAAAAAAAAAAAAAAAAAAAAAAAAAAAAAAAAAAAAAAAAAAAAAAAAAAAAAAAAAAAAAAAAAAAAAAAAAAAAAAAAAAAAAAAAAAAAAAAAAAAAAAAAAAAAAAAAAAAAAAAAAAAAAAAAAAAAAAAAAAAAAAAAAAAAAAAAAAAAAAAAAAAAAAAAAAAAAAAAAAAAAAAAAAAAAAAAAAAAAAAAAAAAAAAAAAAAAAAAAAAAAAAAAAAAAAAAAAAAAAAAAAAAAAAAAAAAAAAAAAAAAAAAAAAAAAAAAAAAAAAAAAAAAAAAAAAAAAAAAAAAAAAAAAAAAAAAAAAAAAAAAAAAAAAAAAAAAAAAAAAAAAAAAAAAAAAAAAAAAAAAAAAAAAAAAAAAAAAAAAAAAAAAAAAAAAAAAAAAAAAAAAAAAAAAAAA